TGAAGGTATTCGGTGTTTTGTGTTCCCTAAACCCAGTACTTTTGTTTCAATCTTATCTCCCCTTTCTCCTTTCCCCTCCCACTTTCTTCTCATTACCTCCTCTACTTCCACTTCAAAAATCCTACGGAGAGGGCGAAATGAAATCTCACTGACTGTTCAGACTAACTCGGGTCGCTCTCCCACTAAATCAAGTCGTTGTCTAAAATGGAGTTTGGCAATCGTCTGAGATGCATAAGCTGTCCTATTTAGGGATAACAATGCTTACCTCCTGGTGTGGAAGTGGCTGGAAATGTTGCCCTAAACAAGTGCTGGGGGATCACTCCATCTGCAAGTACATCATGACTCGTAGATGCAATACTCGCAGTCAAAAGAACTACGATGGACAAACACACCATCGTTCCCATTCCCTCCGCCCCACCACACAAGCCGTTAGGGTGAGCTCCCTCACACTGGCAGCGGGAAATGGTCGCTCCCTTTTAGACAATCCGATAAAAAACCGACCGGAACGGAGGATTGCTCTAGTCGATACATTCACAAATTTCTGGACTCATAGCGGAGGCTGTTCTGCAACGGCTGGATTTGCTGGTCTTGAAAGACCGAAATTCTCGGTCCAGTATGTGAGCGATAATTTTGTCGTCATCTAACGAGATCGGTAGCTGGCATACAAAGAGCGACTCCACGACGTCTTGCCCGGCGTTCAGCATACAGTTGGGTTGGATTAAAAAAACCAGCTGACGCTTCCTGATGTCCTCGTCTGTCGCAAAAAATGTGCTGGCATAAAGGCTGAAGTGTTCAAAAACGTACTGAACTTCAGCAGCAACCTTCCAATCAGCCACAAACGCAAATGCGTAAGGGCACGTAAAAAAATTAAAAACATTGATGACAGTCATAAAGCAATAAACGCACTAAGGGCAACAATCCTCGATTAGGGGGGAAAGGCCTTAGTCTTCATAGGTCTGCGGTGGCATAGCGAGCTGCTAACCCTTGTTCTCGAGTCACCCGCATCTGGTGCCGTCTCCGATGCTAGGCTCCAGCAGAAAACCGAGACGCGAAACGAACGAAGTTCTTGTTCCAGCGATCACTTTTACTTCTCAAGGGCAAAGTTGTCATCAAAACAACTTGCTGTACTGAGTGGCTATATGCTTGGCATATGAAAAACGAGCGAGGGAACTCGAAACATTTCACCTCAGCTGTCTACGTATAATAATGAAAATGAGGTGGAAAGACAGGATTTCTGACACAGAAAGTCTTCAGCGGACAGCAATTTTCATCATTCAAGCCATGTTGAGCCAACTGGTACTGCATTGGACGGCCACTTTGAGAGGATGTATAATGAGCGCCTACCCAAGCGACTCTTCTATGCTGGAGATCTTACGGGTGTTTGCCGACAATGCGAGCAAAACAACGCTAGGAAGACACCCTAGATACATCTCTCAAGTAACTGCAAATCAACCTGAATACCCGGGAGGATCTCACCCAGGACCGACCATCTTGGAGAAAAGAAGTAAGGACTGGACTAGCCATCTACGAGGCCAACCGGATCGCCGCTGCAAAAATAAAAGAGCATCTTACAAGTCCCTAGTATCTTCGATGCACAACACCAACTCCCAACACCTTCCAACATGTTCACGCTCCCAGCGAATATACGACGCGCGGACGGACCTCATTGGACATCTTGGATCCTAAGCAACAACAAGCTCTCAGCTTCACCTTTACCTTTCCGAAAACGGCTACATCATCACACCCGTACCTGATCTCACGACTTCGAAGAGGACGACGATGACCACCACCACCACCACCACCACCACCACCACCACCACCACCAC